ATCCCTTACCGCGTGGAGGCGGATCCCTTACCGCGTGGAGGCGGATCCCTTACCCCGTGGAGGCGGATCCTTCACTGCGTGGAGGCGGATCCTTTACCCAGTGGAGGCGGATCCTTTACCCAGTGGAGGCAGATCCTCCCGTTTCCTTCAGTCTTTACGTGTTTGTTTTCTGCTGGTTTAACTGCGCTGCGGTCGGCCCGAGGGGATCAATTAGAGCCATGCTGTGGCTGGTTTTCCCACTGCCGTTGACTTGGCAGTGATTTGTTTACCTCGCAGCCATGCTGTGCTTACAAAAGTAAAAAATATATATTTTCTTAAATAACATCCTTCCTCTGATGCAACTTTCTCTCGGTTCTCTGCAGAATTACACACATAAATACGCCTCAGACACAACAACGCGCAATGTCCCAAAAGGTTTCCCGCAGATCCTCGAGCACGCTGTGACACACGTGATGGACCATGTTTAAGTGAAACAGCTTGACCTCTGGGCGGGGTCACGGGTTGGAACAGGTCTATTAGCATGTGCTTTCCTTCCACACACACACACACACACACAACTTAGATTGCATCCGGCCAGGGGACCAGCCGGGAAGCCCTTTCCCGTGTCAAGGAGGACAGCTTGTCACACAGCGCGTCTCGGCTGCCAGTTGAAACTGACAAGGTGTCACCTTGTTATTTGGCTGCGTGAGAAAGGGAGGGGGGATGGAGGAGGGGGGGTGAGGTGGGGGGGGCAGCCTACGTTTATGGGGAGTTGATTAGAGCAAAGCAAACCTGTTGCAGCATTTACCGACGGGAAACGCCGAGCTCACTGGAGAATTGAGCGGTCCCGGGGGGGGGGTGGGGGGGGCAGCAGCAGGGGGGACACATTTGTTACATCTGGACGGCATCGCTCTCTCTTGCTCTTGGTGATGATTTAGCATTTACGGGTGTGGAAGGAGATAATCGCGAATTAAATTAGATTGCGCTGATAATTCCCACGAATGCTCGATTTACATATCATGCATATGGTTTCACATGGATTCAGCAATTTTCTGGGTAAATTTGCAGAAGCTGCTGCTGACAAGTAGGGCCTTAAAAACATCCTCCTCCTCCTCCTCCTCCTGGGGGAGAAGTCTGCTGCCCTGCTGCATGAAGCCGGCATTCACAGCAGACTGACATATATCTATAGATATAGATATATACATATTGTTTAGCTCTTGAAGGGTTTAACTTTGTGGTCTTCCCTCTCCAGAAGGGAGTTGAATGGAGGTTTTCACCACAGTAAGATCATCTTTGGCCACAAACGCACCAATAAAAAAAAACAGCACGGTTTAAATGATATTTAATTGGCTGCTTCTTTGCATGTTTCCACCCAAAAACTTCAGTGGCGATTCCCCTCAGACAGGAAACATGAGTGTAGTAGAAAGAAAGCAAACAACACAACACGAATGCACGCGCGCCGGACACCCTGATGTAGTAACGTCAATGCACGTGACATTGACCCAATAAATTCCAGGTGAACACTGAAGCTTTCTGCACGGAGACCAGACAAACACGCGCATAGAGACATAGAAACACATATAAACACGGGCAAATCACGCGCGCGTCTCTGCAGCCTCTCCGGCCACGTTCGCGCCCTCACGGGGAAGCTGCGAGCGCGCCGCGCGGCTCGGGCGCGTTGCCCTTCACCTACCCGTACCTTTGGTGCGAGCGGCGCTCAGCGCCAGAGCCGCCAGGACCAGGACGCCGGCCGTCCTCAGCATCTCCGCGGTCTCCCTCCCGTCTCTCTTCGGGCAGCGTGGAAACAGTTCCCCGTTGTGTGGGACGAGCAGCCAGGCGGCGTGGAGTAGAAGGAGGAGAGGGCGATGAAGAAGAGGATGAGGAGGAGGAGGAGGAGGAAGGAACGCCGGGTGGTCCGCCGCGCACCTTCGCAGCAGCGTAACGTGCGTCGCACCGCTTGGCTGAGTGGAAGCGACGAGGCGGCGACCGGAGTGGGTTTGTGCGCCGAGACGGGACTGGAGAGCGGCAGCGCACCCCGGGACCAGGGCGGGTGACGTCACACGGGGAGGAGGAGAGAGATGGATTCAGCCCCCCACCCCTCTCACTCTCTCATCCTCCCGCCTCCTCCTTCTCCTCCCTCCCGCTGTACCCGAGCGTCGGCGGCCCGCCCCGCGTAATGGGAACCGTCGAGCCGCATCTGGATGCAGATGAGTCCGTGGACGGAAGAACGCGGCGCGTGTTGTCGCGCATCTGTAATAGACTTTCTAATAACACCGTGTGTGAAAAGGCCACAAATTGAATTCACTTCAGGTCCCCGTGAAGTCAATGATGACAGACACGTTGTGTGGTTTGAATACTGCGGTATTATTTGTTACTGTTACTATAATCTACACAAGAAGCAACTTACAACCAAGTCATTGTTTAATACAGCGATTCCCAAAGTGTGGGCCGCGGCCCCCTGGTGGGCCGCGAAGGTACTGCAGGTGGGCCGCGAGAGGTCATTTACAATAAATAAAAAGTTTTTAATTTTCAATTTTTAAAAGTTTGAAATTAATATAAAAATTTGTATGATGCGGCACATTAGTTATGTGAAACATTAATTGATTAAGCACAAACAATTTAAACGGACAGATTAATAAAACAATAAGGCTCTCGCTCCAAACGGCTGCTCTTGTCCGCCTGTCGTTCAACAAAGGGGCGCCCTCTTGTAGTGTTAAAGTAAATATCGCGCATTTTCCGCACTCCAAGGCGCACTTAAAAGGCTTTAATTTCCTCAAAAAACGACAGTGCCTTATAATCCGGAGCGACTTATATATATGGATCAACTGGTTAATCTGGTTGTACACGGCGCGCAAAGCGCTCTGCCAAACACGCCAAAGCGCGTCTACGACGGCGAGATGCTGAGCGGCGCTCAAGCGCGTGAGATATGGAGCTGCTTTCAGGGCGCGTCGGAGAAACAAAGCGGTCGTTCTTGCCGAGCACTTCATGAGAAGAGCGAGAGACGGCGCCCTTTTCTCTACAGTAGCTGAACCATCTTAACGGGGAACATAAGTTATTCTAAAAGCAGCCGAAGATTTAAGGGGGGGAATGGCGAGGGGGGCGGCGGGAGCGGACGCACCTCGCGGCATCGATCGGACGCTGAAAGCACCGTCTCCACCTCCGCACACCGTCCACCCGCCCCAACGCCAAACGCTTGACTGCTACGGCGGCAAATCACCAGCAAGCTGGACGCATCGGTCTTAATGTGCCGGTAATGATGGTAAATGATGGTTGTAGCTGGTTGTCATCTACGCTCCACTACGGTTACATAAAGGTGTCGTTTGTGTTGACAACGTTTTATCTCATAATTTCGACTTTCTATCAACTTTCTTCAGTGCGATTGTAACCAATCAGGTGTAGAGACCATGGTGACTGGCTCCGCCCCCTTACTGTCAAAAAGAAAAACAGCCAGCGCGTAGAAAACACCTTCCAGCGCGAGCAGAGATTCTCCTCGCGAGCAACGAAGTTCACGCTCCGCGAGCGAGCAAATACCTCGCGGAGACGGACTTTTGCTGGCGGATGTTTGATTTTGGTTTAATTCTTAAGGTCATTTAATCATTATGTTTTGATCAGAGTTGTGATTAAAGGTTCGGTCGGGCCGCGAAAGATTTTCAGATTTCAAATTGGGCCGCGGCGTTCTTGAGTTTGGGAACCGCTGGTTTAATAATTATAAAAGTTACTGCTGCCAGGGATTTATCTGGAAATATTATTATTATTATTTTACATGAACATTTTAAACATGACATCCCCAAATGTTATCTTTATCTTTTGAAATGTGCAACATGAGAAGAATAAATCTCTGAGTGACATGTTGTGCCACCGACTTTGTCTAAAGTGTGTGTGTGTGTGTGTGTGTGTGTGTGTCTTTTTGTGGGTGTTGGCACGTGTGCATGTGCATCAAGGTTTGTGGTTTGTTTTTTCACTTGCTGCCGGGCAGCAGGCTTAATAATAACTTTTTCAATTTTCCTGAGTAGACTATCTCAAAAGGAACTTTTCTCTTGGACCATCTCCGCTGGTTTAGGATTATTCTGGGAGGCAGAGAGAATATTGCCGGCTTTATCTGGAGGGAGAGGAAAATAATAATACAAACAGATGACAATGCAGAGATTTGAATCCACACCATCCAGTGATGAAATTAAACGTTGTCTCCTTTTCACCGGGAAATGACTAAAGTGGTTTATAGCCGACAGAAAAGCTTTCAGAAGAAACCAAAGCAGTGGTTCTGGGACCCTCGAGGGGCCTCAACATTTAAGTGATCACAAAGCCGTCTGTCATTTACACACAGGATATTAAATACAGAATAAATGAAAACGCAGGTCCATTTCAAAATTTCCCTGACGTAAAATGCGAGACATTTCAGGGCAACATGTTCCTTGAGGCTGCACACGCCAACAAACATACGGTAACACGGTAAAAACCTCTGTGCAAAATAGCCAATCTTTGTCTATTGGCAATTCATCTGAGGCTCGACGGGCAGGTTGTGTATTTTCCGCCTGCGTCAGTGACCAAGCCGCATGCAGGAGCCGGTGCTTTTTCTCCCCCCATTAGAGGCCGTTCTCAAAATTAGAACCTGCTGCAAATGGACCATTTTGTTCCGCTTCTGTTCCCGAGGTTTCCACCCCGGATGCTTTTTCAATATTGACACACATTACGGCCACTGGGCCACAATATCCACCCAGGGAATGGCTAGCTATAATGCTAATGTAATATCCTCGTGTCCGTCTGCTCATAGTCCAAAGGAGGAGGAGGTGGGGGGGGAAATAAAGGGGGAAAAGTTTCTCTCACACTGTGTTTGAGGCAATCTAACCTGGCTGAGTGGTTTAATGTGCAATTCTTCTGGTCTTCTGTGAGTGTGTCACCTGTGGGCCGTACGTTACTGGCAGACATTTGCTGTTTGGCTTCCCAAACGATGATGGAACCGATGAGAAGAAGATATTAGTTTCAGATTGACGATGACTACAGCGTTGTGTGATGAATATAGAATGTGGTGTGTGACGGGCGGAAGCAAGTGAAGGAATTCAATAGGTTGGTTTTTAGAGCTTCTTCTGTTCCCCGGACTGTTGAACGGCCAAAGAAATGTCACATGACGGTTTAAAACCAAAAACGTGGTCGTCCATGCAGACCTTCCACCAAAACACCAACACCGAGCTCATGGTCCATGTTCCCGTCTTGCTCCACAGAAGAGACGCAGGAATATGGAAATCCACCCTTTTCTAAGTTTGTCTTTTCACACCCAAGAATGTTGTTGCACAGAGACACGCGGTCTGCCGGGTTCACTTTCCCCCCCCAGCAGAGCACGTCTGGGTGGAGGGTGACGGATGTAGAAAAGCACACTCGTGCATCTTAATTTGATCGTTTACTGCTCACAGAAAAAGAGGAGCCATCGTCTGCTGTCGTTTTGTTTATGTGTTGAAAGCCTCTTTCTCTGGATGGAGAACTGAGACGGCAGAGCAGCAGGTGAAGGGCAGCTTGTTCCTGTCCTCCTTCCGCCCTGCTCCTTCCTGCTCC